AATAAGTAGCTATACAGCTAAACATTCTTTTTATAAATTGTGCTTATTAAAATTTTATGTTTCCAGTTTTGATTTCAGAAGTGATGTTTTCTCTCAATTGCTCCCTCTAAAATTGCAAATCAGTCTCTTCTGAGTTCATTGAGCATCAGACTCACCCAGGATACCTGTTAAAAGGCAGCTTCCCAGGCTCCAGGTTGATTTCGTGTTTGGCTCAGGGTTCCAGAATCTGCACTTTAACCTGCATCCCAGGTGACGGACTGGGTGTCCCAGGGACCACGCTTGGAGAAACACTGCTGTAGGGGGATTTGTTTTTAATCTCTGAGTCACTTCCCTTTGCTTGCCTGCTCTTTTTTTTTTTTTTTGCCCCCTAGGGGGAAATCAGTAGCCATGATTAAGAGGAGAATTTCTTTGGTTGTGTTGTTTTAAATAGGGAGACAAGGAAGTCAGCCTACAGCCAGGGAACGTGACTGCTTGGGTGTGGGTGGTGATATTTCTGCACTTCTCCTGGGAAGGCATATGCTCATTTGGAGACTGAGACAGCCAGGAGAATCAGGCCTGGGTTGTCATCCTCCTAGGAAGGGAGCTGGATGTCAGGTGGTCCAGGTGAGGAAATGGAGGTGATCATGGACAGTTGGGGAGAGATGGGCTGAGAGGGGCCTGGATTTAGGTAACTGGACAGAAGTCTCTAGAACAAAGCTAATATTTCAAAGTTTGGTTTTACTGTTTCACTAGCTGTTCAGGGTTGGGTGAGTTAGTAAACTCTCTGAGTGTCAGATTCCTCATTTTAAAATGGGAAAAGATGCCATCGATGTGGCAGTCTTGTTGTAAAGATCAGAGATAAGTGTGGAGGGCACCCCGCCCAGTCCTTGGTGCACTATAGATATTTGATGAGTGGGAGGAGTCTTAACGATGGGTGCAAATGGGATCTCAGCTCAGATGTTTCTTGAGTACCTACTAGAGTAGGGTTCTGAAGTGCTCTAGAAACCTCTTGATATTCTATAGGAAATAGGGTGAATGTGTATGTCCACACTCGCCTCCATTTTGTTGGGGCAGAAGATCCGTGATTTTCTTGAGATTCTCACAGGATGGGCTTCTATATATAGTTGAACAGGTTGTTGACTGAACAAGGGGACCCAGATGAGGGGGGTACCAAGGGAGTCTGTAACCTGGTCTTGCACTCAGGGGATGGCCCATCTGGAGGAGGGGGCAGCATTTCATAATTCCCGCAAAGCCATCCTGTGCGTTAGGTTAAGAATTTCTGACTTGGAAGAAACTGTCTGCCTCTCCCCGACTCCCACTCCCTTTGATCTTTTCCTTTGTAGGTAGGGCCCTCCAACCTCTGAGCCTGTGTCACCTCTGCTTCTAATTCCTGTTCCCATGGGAAAGAGCCGATAGAATGGGAGGGGAGAAGCCACAGGACTAGGGAAGGGAAGAGAAGGATTTGGCTTGGAAGGAAACTAATTAGAAGAGTAAGTTTGGCAGAGAACTTAATTGTTGGGTAGTTACTCACACTATATACTCTTGATGGCTGTGGGGCAGCTCTCCCAGGAGGCCTACCCCTCCACACCATGGAGGATGAGGTAATGGTGGTGGTTTGGGCCTCTTAACTGAGAACCTGCAGGTGGGGAGGCCAACTTCTGGCTTCTCTACATCTTAAAAAAATTTATTGTGGTAGAATACACCTAACATAAAATCTATCATCAGGGACATTTATACATTCACAGTATTGTGCAACTACTATCTAGTTCCAGAACATTTTCATCACCCCAAAAAAGGAAAGCCTGTACCTGTCTCCTCCCCCCACCTCCCCAGCCCCTGGCAACCACTGATCTTTCTCTTTCTGTGGATTTTCCTGTTCTGACATTTCATATAAATGGAATCATACCATGTGTGGCCTTTTGTGTTTCTCTGTTATTTCACTTACGTGTTTTCAAGGTTTATCCATGTTGTAGTATGTCTCACTACTTCATTCCTTTTGATGGCTAAATGTTCCTTTGTATGGATATACCACATTTTGTTTATCTCTTCATCAGTTGATGAACACTTGGTTGGCTACTGTGAATATGGGTGTATAAGTGTGTGTTTGAGCGCTGTTTGTAATTCTTCTGGGTACGTACCTAGTTGTCTCCATATCTTTTAACTCCCGACTTGTTTCAGGCCAGCCAACAGGAGGAGCTTCTTTTTGGGAGGGGGAAAGGCAAGGGGACTGTGGCTGCCTGGAGGGCCAAGGCAGACAGAGCACAGTCAGATGGCAGGCAGAGTGGGACTCGTGGCCATACTGGAGGGGGATGTGGAGACCGCCTTTGCCACATTGGCCAAATTAGAAAGTAGGTGAGGTTGGCCCGGGTGCCCTTCTCCTGCTCTCTTTCAGCACTTCTTGGCCCTTCCTGGTTCAGTATCAGGGGTATCTCCCTCCCAGACACCTTCCATAGCGTTCACACATGGCAGGTCCTCAGGGCAATTATGGTACCTCGTTGGTCATCAGTCCTCAAATGTAAACTAAAGCTTATTCTGACCCCACAGAGTTAGATAAATTAACTAGAGTCATTCTAAAGAGAATGTGGAGCTGTGGAGACGGGACCGTGTCATTGTTGCTACTTCACAAGTAGGGCACAGCGAGTCAGAAGGTTCTGTTCACTCACTCAACCAGCCCAGCTCAGGAGAGGTCTCTTCGTCACCCAGCCTTCTCACCGGAACCTATTAGTCAGTATCCTAACACGTTAGCCTCCCCAGCAGGTCTGTGTTTGCCTGTTAAGTTGAGTAGTCTTAGGAACAGAAACCTCGGAGAAGTGACTGTTAATGGTGACATTTCAGACATGGTGATGGCAAAGTTGGGGTGTGGGCCTTTGAACTTCTGCATCGCAGTAGGCAGAGGTTGTGTGAAGCCTGGTCTCGCTCAGCATTTAAACTGCCCCCCTTCCGCTGGGAACCCCCATTTATTGAGCATTCTTGGTGACAGGCACTGTCCTAGGTGCAAGTTTGTTATTGTTAATCTCCATGGTGTCTTCCACAACTGGGCTCATACTATCATCTTCTGTTTTGTAGATGTGCAAATAGATGCAGCTGGTTGAGTCATTTCCCTGGGTCACGTGGCTACTAAGTAGGCGAGTCAAGATTGATCCTGAGGCCGGAGGGCTGTTTCTACTGTGCTTCTGGGTCCCTTTCTCCTCAGCAGCCTATTTCTGGCCATGTCAATCTCTGACTCTTGCTTAAAACCCTTTAGCAATTTCCTCCCAGGTTATTCAGACAAGCACCATATGGTCTTCCCATCCTCAGTGCTCTAAGATATCTGACTCGTGCAGAAACAACCTGGCATCTTACCCTTCTGGTTCTAGAATATTACTCTCTTCAGCCAAGCCCCTGACCTCCCTATTCCTACTTTACTCCCAACCCCACTTGATCAAGAGGTATATCTCCCATATGTGGGATACTTTATACACACACACACACTTTGTACTCATCATAAGGCTGTTTGTCTGGCATGTATTTTGATCACCTTCCAATCTGGGAGCAGCATCTGGAGGCCCAGGTAAACTGCTCAGGTGTGTGCTTGGGCTCGATGGGCGTGTTCTGCTGGGGAGAAGGCGGCAGCTGCTGTCCACCTCACCAGCAGCTAGCAGTTTAGAAGCTGGTCTTCCGTACCGAACCAAAGAGGCGCTGCCGGTTAGCAGGTGTGGGCGGCAGAGCATTCAGGGCATTGGGGAAAGCTTTTAATTAAATTGTGAAAATTCATATTGAAACATACATGACAGCTCCACGGAGGGCCACGGGGAGGCTGTGTTTACTCGAAGTCCCAGGAGCAGCCAGGGTTGATCCCATCCCCTCACAGGGCATCAGTGCACCACAGGAAGCGGGAGCACGTGGTTTTGCAGCCTTCAGAAAGCTGAGAGCAGCCTGGGGGCCGTGCATTTCTGCTCCTCGCTTTCAATCTATTATCTTGTTTTCCTAAGCAGTGGCCGTCGGTGACCAAAAACTGCCTCTGTGGGCATGGCTGGGGGATGCTGAGGATATTTAGGGGCTGATTAGTTTTAATACTTCTGAGTCGGGTCCAGTTTTGCTGAGAAATTCACAGCCCTTCTCCTGTGGCTAGAATCCTGATTTCAGTCAATTTACTTTCTTCACAAGGCACAGCAATTGCGTGGGCTGATTTGGACTGTCTTTCCTGATTTTTTAAATGTTCTTTAGCTAACAACTTTTGTTTTTGTGTTTATTGAAGAAAATTTAGATGGAAGAGAGAAGTCAAATGAAAAGAATAAAATTGCCCGTAATCCCACCACCAGAAATCACCTCTGTCTTAGCATCTGTGTTTACACCTGATTTCTCTATGTTGTGTATTATTTTTCTCTGCTTTATATTTTTAAGAAAAGTACTTCTCTGCAGGGTTAAAAGAATTAAACCACACTAAGCACATACAGTGAAAAGGAAGTCTGTTTCGCCTCAGAGTCCCAGTTCTCTTTGTCAGTGATTTGGACACTTGACGAGAAAAACCCCGCCTCGCTCTTGATCAGTTCTCAGCGTTATCACAGAAGGTTTTACGTCTCGCTCTGCTGAGACTTGCATTAATTACTTCTGGTAGGTTCTAACAGCAGGCCCTGGGCTGTGCTCCGTGGTCCTGGGGATTTCAGGGTTCAGATGCCTCAGTGGGAGCTCGTGGAGTGACAGCCCCCAATAAGCACAGCATCCCTGCGAGTGGTTTTCTAGGAGCTGCCGAGGAGAAGGTCCAGCTCTGTTACCTAACTGGCTTCCCCTCTGTCCTCTAGGGGATGCTGCCCCGTCTGCAGGGGCTCTGGAAAAGCAACCGCTCCTTGCTCCTCACACTCGGGCGGGCAACTCCCGGAATCACACAAGTGCGGCGGTGACATCCCCCAGGGAGGCCCCTGGGCCACACCCTCCCTAAGGCCCAGCTATTCCAGGGTGACTTCATCTGCCTCTGACTTCCTGGTTGAAAAACAGTTGCAGAAATGCCAAATGTGTGTGACCTTTTCTTTCCTCCTCAACAGAAGCCTGGAATGGTCCCCCCTCCGCCGGGAGAGGAAAGCCAGACCGTCGTTCTGCCACCCGGCTGGCAAAGCTACTTGTCTCCTCAGGGCCGGCGTTACTATGTCAACACGGCTACCAATGGTGAGTCCACTCTGGGGAGCATCCTGCCCCAGCCCCCGGGGGTCTGTCTCTTTGGAGGGGCAATTTTCTCCTCCTGCCTCCACCTCCTGGTTTTTAGATTTTTCCTTCAGAAATCAACCTCAGAGGCTGCTTTCCCCACTGGGTGGGTGTGGGTGGTGGGGGTCTGAGCCTGGGTTGGGAAGGCTGCCTTTCAAGACTGGGGTCATCCCTGGAACCCACCAGCACGCTGGGCATCTCATGGTGTGGAATGGTGTTTTCCAAATCGAGATCTCAAAAGGTTCTCTGGTCAACAGCTGGTTTAAATCAAGTTGAACAGGTTTAGCTCCTCCATGATCTCTTAGAATTTGGAATGTGCTCATGGTACAGAAGCTCCCAAACAGGCGTTGCAAGTGTGGGGTTTTCCTAGTTTCATCACTACATCTCTTTCTCTTCCCTGAAAGATCTCACCGGCTGGCATCTTTTGGAATGTTCTTTGGGAAATGCTGGGGCTACTCATGGATTCTTTATTCTAACAGATAACACAGGTCCCACGTGCATTTCTGAGTTGAGCTGGACTGCAGCTCCACACCCCCGATTATTAGGGGCTTCCTGGGCCTTCACAGCGACTCCAGGATCCAGGAAGTAGGCTGTGGGGTGACCTTTGGGAAGGTAGGAGAAGGTTTACAGGAGAAGGAGTGGCAGGTTCTAGAATAAGGCGAGCAGAGTAGAATTGCAGGTTGTGGTCTTGCGCAGGGCAGAGGAAAACCTCCATGACTCCTGGAGGCAATTGCCCGAGAGAATGGAGAGGGCAGAAATACAGAAAGTTGGATTTGGTGGGAATCAAGGCAGAAGGTGAAATCCTACCCACATCTACCTGTCGGCTCAGCCAGCGTTGGCTTCTCACCTCCCTCGTCTGTGCCCACCTGACTTATGGCCACCTCTTCCCACCCAGCAGGACCATTAATATGGCTGCTGAGTATGAGCCTGCACTTGGAGGGGTCCTGGTGACAGGAGAGCCGGCTGCTACTGAGAGGGAGCAACAGAGAAAGCAGCTGACAGCTGCCACTCTGAGTTTGTTCATAACCCCTGGCAACCTGGCCTTTTGTGGGCTCACGGGGGGTGCTCCAGTTGAAGAGCTAGCCGGGGTTTCTAGGAAAAGGGAAGTAGAACTATTTCTGACCGTTGTAATCTTAAGCTTCCTCAAAACAAGCACAGGAGCAGCTTGCACTGTTATCAGACTTCGAAGTTTCAGGGGAGAGTGCGTTTATGTGCTGCTCCCCATCTGTAAAATGCAGAAATCGGACCATGTGGTCCTGAGCTCATCAAGAACTTAGATCCATGCATGTCCTGAATTAGTCACTCTATTGCAAAGGCACGTGAGGGTAAAAGTGGCTTTCTAAAATCAGCATTTTTGTTTACCCTTTCCTTAAATTAGTAATATATTCTTGGTTAAAAAAAAAAAAATTCAGTGAGTACAAGAGTTTAAAATAAAAAGTGAAAATCCCTCGTCCCTTACCCTGGAGCTGTTTATCATGCATCTTCTTGCAGAGATTCATATTCTCTCACCTTCTAAACATATGTATGGTTATTCTTTTTAATAAATGGGAAAACACTATCGTTCTGTAAATTGCCTTGATGATGTACTGTGGGCATCTTTCTATGCTTGTACATTTCGGTCTAACTCATTTTTTAACATTGCTATGTATAGTCCGTTGCAAGTGTATGCGACCATTAATTTAACTAGCCCCCTCTTTGTCAAGGCGGTATTTAAGTCCCATCTTACACTAATAGACAGTGTCGGGCAGCTTTTTTCTGAGGTCCAGACGTTAGCATATGCTCCTGGGTCAGGGCTTTCTCCGGGGTCCCGCAGTATAGCGGTCCCAAGAGACTCTCGGCCAGGGGTCGCACACTTTTTCTATAAAGGGCCAAGTAGTAACTATTTTAGGCTTTGAGGCTAATATGGTCCCTGTCACAGCTACTCAACTCTACCAATGGAGCATGAAAGCGGCCGTGGATGATACGTAAACCAATGAGTGTGGCTGTGTCTCAATAAAACTTTATTTATGGACACTGAAACGTGAATTTCAAATAACTTGTACGTGTCATGAAATATTCTTCTTTCAGTTCTTTTTCAGTCATTTAAAAATGTAAAAGATGATCTTAGGTCATGAGTTCACGGGCCACATGAAATTGGCTTGGGCTGGGGTGGGCCCGGCCAGCAGGCCGTTCTGGCCCCTGCTCTAGGCTGTCAGTCATCTCCAGTAGAACTGGCCGACTTTCACTTCCCCTCCTTCTCTCTTAGACTCAGGGTAATCCCGGCCCCTTTGTCTTACGTTCTAGGCACATGCCAGTTTTGTTCGTTCTTTATCTGTTTGATTGATGGGCTCATTCATTCCACAAACACTTAGTGGGCCTCAAATATGTTCCAGGCTGACTGTTGGATGCTGGGGATATAATAATAAAAAAGAAGCCATCCCTGTTCTCAAGGCACTTACCTTCTTGTGGTGGAAGCAGATTTTAAATAAATACGTGTTTGATTACGACTGTGAGCAGGGCTGTGAAGGAGAAGGCCAGGGTATTTCGAGAACCTGTCCCAGAGAGACCCTGGGAAGTCAGGGGAGGCTTCCTGGAGGAGGAAACGCCCTTTAGCTGATCTGGGAAGGAAGTGGCGGGGCCGCTGATGGGAAATGCCTTCCTGATGGCATAGTCAGTGGTGTTTGGAGGGGTCACGCAGACCCTGAACGTTGTGTTGAGGATTTTGTTCCTTAGTCTAAGGGAGTGGGATGCTCAGCTGTCTTTCTGATTCTCCTCTGGAATCCTTTCTTAGACCAGTCTTATTTGGCTGCTCAACTGCTGTTTTTGAGCCTGACTGCCTTTCTGCAGGAAAGGACTCCTCAGAATGTCCCCTCGCTGTTCTCACACCTGCTCTCATCTGACCTCCTGACCCCTGGAGGCGTTTGAGGCTGTGTCCCCTCACAGCTGGGCCACCCGTGTCCACCTTTCTGCCTCAGCTCTTGAGTACCCCGCCTGTGACTCAGGCCGAAGCCCTGCGCTGCTGCCCAGGAGGCAGCGCCCTTGCTCTGAGCCTCCACGGCCATTCCTCCCTGCTCCTCGTCCGGCTGCCTTTCTTCCGGATGCTTCTAGTCTCCTTTCACCCCTGGTCACCCCTCTCGCAAAGGGCGCTTGGGCCCAATAGGTATTCTGTCCCCATTTTTACACACATACAAATATAACTGGTTTTAAAGACCAATCGACATTTGCGTTACCTTGCTCTGGCTAATCTGCTTATTTTCAAATCCATTTAGGATTTTTATGGATGAGGATTGTCACAGTGCTGGTCAAAATGAGCACAAAATCAAACAAGAGGCCATCTCCTCCTTCAAAGGCAGTTCGACTGGAGGCAGAGAAACTGAGAAAGAGTCAGCGTTGTGGGTGTTAGCATGGAAATCTGGGGGCTCAGGGAAGGGAGTTGGCAACTTTGTCTGGGTATCAAACAAGACTTCAAGGAGGGGGCCCCCTGACTCGGGGTTCCATGCTGAGTCTCAGCACGCACAAAGGCAAGGCAGCAAGGGTGCAGCTGACGTGTCTGGCACTGTCAGGAACCAAGAGGCAAGAGAGGGATTAAGGGTCTGACCCCCCACCAAAGAGCCCAGGAGGCATTTTGAGGAGTTGGCTCTTTGCCCTGTGGGCAGTGGGAAGCCGTGGATGGGTTCAAAGCGGTGGCATGACATGATCAGAAGATTGTGACAAGACTGCTTGTGCAGCAGAGTGAAGGATTTGAGGACGGTGAGCGTGGAGCCGGGCAGACCAAATGAGAAGAGAAGGAATGAGGTCAGCACCGCGTCTCCAGCTGTGGCTGCAGAGGAGGAGGTGGGGTCTGTCAGGCAGGCTGCAGCAGGTCAGGGAAGGGAGAACGCTCAGACTTCTCCGAGTTTTCTGCATCGTGTGCTGGAGCCGTGCAGTGAGAATAGGGGATACCAGTGAGGCGCGAGTTTGGAAGAAAGATGAATCCTTGTTGGGCGTATGGTTCCTCGGGGCACATTCAGGGCGAGATGGCCAGCATGTGTTTGGATGGTTGTGTCTGTGACTCAGGGGGCACCTGGGCTAGAAATGGGAATCTGGGGAGCTGTGGGGGTGCACGGCTTGGCAAGCAGAGAGCAGAATGGATTTCACCCCTACTTGCCCCCTTGGCCCGGCACCATTGTGCAGTGACCAACCTGCACAACCAAAGGTGGTGGCCCAGAATTTGCATTGCATCAGCAGAGAAATGAAGTCCTGAGAACGCAAGAGATCACCCAGAGCAAGCCTCTAGGAGGAAGGCCTGCAGAGCAACGTTTCAGGGAGGGGCAGAGGAGACTGAAAGAATTGTCAGAGATGGGAGGAGTCCAGGAGAAGGGAATGTCATGAAAAGCAAGGAAGGAAAGATTGTCAAGAAGGGGCAGTTAGAGACAGATTGAGATACAGATCAGATTTATGGTAGGATAATATTTCAAATCACTGCGGAAAGCACAGGTTATTTAATAAATGGTGTTGGGCCAGATGAGTAACAGGAGGTTCTAGTGGGTAAGTTAACGCAGTAATGCTGGTGCTCTCTTATGAAGTGTGAAAGGCCATCAGAGCGTGCTTTATGAGACTTTGGGAAGTCCCCGTGTCCCCTTACACCCCATGGTTAATGGCTCTCCACGGCGTTTCATCATGCAGGGTGGCCCTGAGCTCAGGCCGCAGGAACCCCAGCGGTTCTGGTCTCAGGAAATTGCTTGTGCTACACTCTCGCAGAAAGTGCTCCTTTCCCACCACACGTTGACTCTACTGCCAAAAATTGAGGTTGTGTTTAGTTCCTGGATGGTGAGCTGTTATCAATAGCTGACCCTGTCCAGGGACCTGACTAGTGTTAAGGGGGACCTCTGATTTGTACAACAGAGAATTGCATTTCAGGAGATGTCGTGCAATGTTGTTTGTTCCATTTCTAATTGGAAGGACAGGTAGACACATTTATCACTTAACGGTGTTATGGCCATAGG